CTTTGTTCACCACAACAAAGAACAATAAGCAAAGTAAAGTGACATTACACTGTATCTTTTTCTTTAAGAATGTTGAGAAAGGTCACGGTATGTTATAACTAATAAAGCTGTTGAGTAAGGAAGTTTAAAGTTGATCTTGCTGTGCTTAAATGTAACCCAATGACAAAAAGGCAGAGGGAACTAAAATTGTAATGACATTAAAAAATAGATCATATATCAACGTGCCAACTTCATTATACAAACACCTTGAATCCAAAGGACACAAACAGAAATACTGAGTGTAGTCCTGCAACAGTATTCCTCTCGCGATTCTCTCCCTAATAGCTTCCAACTACAATCTGCAGAACTGCAAAAATTGATTAATAAGCATTAATTGATATGTGCAATGCACGGGCCTTCTACTGCAAGCCATGGATTTTGTTACTTGATTAAAAACCGGGTTCATTTCTCGTGCAGTTTCAAGGAAAGCTCTGCTGTTTCACAGAAGAACCTCTTCAAAATTTAAAATAAAATAAAATAAAAAAAAAAAAGGAAAAAGGCCTGAGGGCATCAATTAAATTTCCTGAAACCAAGATTTTTAAGTGAAAAAGATGTTCCATCTAGACACCTATGTTTCAGTTTTTCCTCAGACGAATCAGGACAGTTACGTTTGCTATTCTCAAATTGCCAAAGCAGCTTTACTCTCCTTGCTGCAGATCACCAGACAGCAGCCTTCCAACTTTGTCTTTAAGAACATTGAGAACAATGTTGAAACGCTACAACAATAAAGCCCTTGAAGGAGGAAGTATACAGCTGAGGGAAAAAATGTGAGGAGTTTAATACTGAAACAAACAACTGTCCCGTTAGGCTATGCCCACTGCTGGTACCACCAGAAGTGCAGAGACTGCCAGGGCAGAGCAGTTTGTACGGAAAGAGCAATCTCTGAGATGGAAGTTAGCAAGTTATGGATTTGATTTTCACTTCTCTTGAGGCCACTTTGTACCGCTCTGGTTGTGTAAAGAAGTATTATGGTGGTTATAAATTGTACTTTACAGTGCCTGTGTATCGCAAAACCACTCATAAGTGGCCTTAGTTTAAATAAGAATCAGGTTTGAAGGCTTTAGTTCTCCTTTTGATGAACACCAATTCAGTTCAAGATGAATCCTGCAGATGAAACGGGGGAAGAATACAGGTTCCTAAAATAAGCACGAGTGGCCAGAATTTTTGATAATTTAGGATGCCTTAATTTTTGGATGCAGTGCTGGGCACACTTTATTTTCAGGGAACGGACCATTGAGGACCTCCTGACAAAGTGGCTGTTATTAATACCTCTCCAGTTGAGCATCCCAAAATGGAATTGGACTAAAACCATCATCACTTCTGAAAATTTTGGCAGCCAGCGTTCCTCTCAAGGGTTCACAGGCCGCTTATGTGACTGGGTTATTACTTAGATTTTATAGGCGGTGTTGTTTGAATTGTTTTACATAATCTCATTGATTTTTATGGAACTAACTCAGAGTCCTTTAAGTTAAACGTACTGCTAAGACTTGAGTGCAACTGGTCTTAATTAGGTTTTTCCCACTAGAATGGTTTTCCCCTGCCAAAAGCAGAGCAAACCTCTTAAAAATGGTTTTCTCCCCCTTCGAAACGACGACACGTGCCGTAACTAGCGCTATGAAAAGAGGCAATCATCGCGTCAAGCCCCACTGTACCAAAACTGCATACAGTGTATTTGTGCAAATAACGCAGCTTGGCAGACTTTGCACTATTGTGATCAATCTCAGTAACTACGTCTGCAAAATGGGGCGAGTTCCCGTGAAGCAGCAGGCAGGCTGAGCTCAGAAAGATGGCGTGCGCAGGGGCTTGCTTTGGTGCTCATTTGCTCGCTACGCAGAGGAGCGTGGCGAGTGTAAGGAGCAGGCAGGAGGGCACAGAGCGAAATCGCTAGCACAGAGAGACCCTGAGACTTCAGAACTAAGGCTGAGTCGTTAAATGCCCACAAGGAAAAGGAACGGGCATCGTGCAGAGAGACATTAATACACGGAGAATGACGGTAACTACAAAAAAATGCCAGGGAACAAGGACGATAGAGGAGGAGCGGGAGCCAAAGCAAGGCTAAAATCGAGGTATTGTCCTCAGGCCAATTTCCCCTGCTTGTTGTAAGTAAATAAATTGGAAAAAAAATTCTTATTTACGGTTTTTAACCATATTTTTATTTTAACTCACAGCATGGTGTCCCCCTTGCTTGAAATCAGCCTGCCACAGTCACAACTGTGAGGTCTGATGATCTCTGTCAGGATGGATTTTGAAAGAGAGTTATGAAATTATTTGGGTTGTTTTTTTTTTCTTTTAATGCATAGCAACAATACCTGACTTTAATTATTGCAGCTGGCATTCAAAAGCCCATGGCAACACCACAGATGAGACAGATATCAAGTGGCGCAGCAAGCTGTCCTCTTATTCTGACCAACTTCAGCATTTGTGCTGGGACACTGACATTTGTGGCTTTCACTCACCAGGGCAACCCACCTTCTCCCTCCCTGGAAGAATGGCCCTGGGGCAGAGAAGCATCTTCACCTTCCACAAAAAAAAAAAGTGTGTATTTTTTCCCCCTCTTTCAAAACTCAGTTTCAAATTGCTCTGTGCAGCTTAGCACAGGTTTCTCCAGCTAGCCCTGCTGTGAGAGAGAGAAACGTGGAACCGGCTACACACGTGTGCACACAAAACCCAGGCAAAGTTGCATCGCACTGGAGGAGGCGTTGTATCTGTCTCTGGCTCACAGCCACCAGGGTACAATGGCAAGGCTAAAAACGATAGGACATGTGGTTTGTTAAACATCTTCTTTGACTTTGCTACAAGCTGTCAGTTGCAACACGCAGGGGAAGAAAAACAGTATCACAGATTCCTGAGCAAATTAATGGCACAGCCTGATATGGACCAAATGCACATTTTAACATTATAATTTTTTTCCTAATAGTAAATTTAGGAGTAGTACAGTATATGCACGAATTTCACTCGAGATAAAGGGAGAGGGTTTAGGAATAGTAGTGTAGATGATTTAAAAGAAACAGCATATCAGACTAATCAGAAGATCAGCAAAGCATCATTGAAGTATGAGAGGAAAGAACTTTGATGATGCTAAATATGGCAAATGCTCAGTTTGCTAAATCCTTTTGGATCCAATTTCAACATTACAGTACTTGTCATTTTTGTGTTGCAGCTTGTGGGGGAAGGGCCAGGCATTTATCAGGAAAAGTTACATTTGCTACATTAAAAACTGCACAGGACAGTTTAGTGATCTTGTAACTGCTGGATCTTCAGTGCAAAACCAAGATTTAAACCTCTAGGAAATTCTCATTGTACTAGATGTGTTATCTAGTACAATGAGAATTTCCTAGAGGTTTAAGAAAGACTGAGTGAAACAATCTGCAAATCATCGCCATTTGTAACATCTCTTTTCCTCCATGATGGGGGAAAAAAAACCCAAGGAGCTCCCTTCCTGCCAGCTGCTAGACCCCTTGGTGGAGAAGAGGAGACTGCAACCACTAGCAGTGCTAAACATGAGATTTGTATTTTCTTTTCTACCCAAAGACACCCATATGCTCCCCACAATTCTTCACCGAAGTAATCCATTTACATCAACACTGCAACTAATGTTTTGAAAAAGAGTAGTAAGTGCCTGAAATCATCAAGGATACGAGAAATTTTGAGGGCAAAGAACACTTCAACCCACGTTCTGCAAACAGAAAAAGTTATGTTAAAAAGAAAAAAAGCTGGAGGGAATTTAAGAAGCACATTTTGACAGAAAAAAAAAGTTGGTCACACATCTCCTTATGCATTTCCTTTTCCTCTCCTGTATTTAGCTGTTGTACCTTGGCATACAGGTGGACCTACCTCCCGTCATGTGCGTGCATGGGTACCTAACAGGGCCAAAGCCCTCAGGAGGGCTGGGGGGAGCCCCGGCACACCAAACGTGAAGTCTGGATGTTGTCGTCAGCTGCAACGAATGGCAAACCCCTTGAGGAACATCTTCATCCCCCTCTTTCTTCATCTGCCCTTTCCATGCACCCATTCTCCCAGAAAACTCTGCGTGCCCAGAAAAGGGGGAAGGAGCCAGGACAGCTGAGAAAGTCTGTGTTTAGAGACTTTTTGCATCATCTGAACTGACGTGCTGTGAGAACAAGCGCTGATAAAAATCCCTTGGAAGGACTTTAGGCAGGAAACCACCCTCCTTAAGCTGACAAATGTCACTTATGCTACAGGAGGGGGCTCATTATGCAACTTGACCCAGAGTGAAAGGTACAGACAAAAAAAAAATTAATAAAAAACTTAATAATTAGTACCACCATCGCTTTCCCACTCCACCAAGAGATGGGATTACTCAAGCCTCCCCCTCACGCACACCCTGTTCAAATGCATCATTACATCTGACTACCTGAACAATGCAAACTGCCATCCTCAGCAGGGAGAAACACTCTCCCGTGGTATCGCCGAGGGTCAGCATGTTAATGATAACAATAGTCTGCCGAGCTACCAGGCTGGCCTGTAAACAGGAATCTTAATCAAAGCCACAAACCCGTTACAGCAGAAAACAGAGAGCATTTACTTCGAGTAGTCATTCTATCCTGCAGCTTGACAAAGCAAATGCATTTTAGTTCTGTAAATCAAAGGAAGGAAACCAGAGGAAGGTAACTGCAAGTATTTGATCATGCAACTACAGAACTTTAGAAGAGCTGTGAGGTGACTTCTTTCACTACTGTCCCTCCTAAAGGAAACTTCAAAAAGTCAAAACTAAGAAACTTAACAAAAAAAAAGAGAAAACTTTTATCTCTTGTCAAGTCCTAGTGAGGCGTAAGTCTCCAGCTACTATGGCTAAAAAGATTAATTAGCGTCATTCAGGGATGTGGATGGAATGCCCAGATTCCACCAGTCAGGGCCACAACAAAAAGGTACATTATTTTAACGGCAGCCTGGACCACAGAGCGACTCACACACACAGAGAAACAAAGATCAGTGCCTAC